TTTTTTAATTTTTATTTTCATTCATATCTTATTTTCACCTTATTTATGTTTTTTTTTTTAACATCTCCAGTTTTAAACGATTTGGTTACTGTCCTATAGTATACATTGGAATGATTTCAAACCTGTTTTTATTTAGCCTAATAATTATAAAGGTGTGCCTTGGAAATATTTGTTTACATAAATTGTGACCAAACCGTTTGAGACCCACTGAGATAACTTAGACTAAAGTGAACTATCTAAACACTTGAGTCCTTTACCTCACTGAGCTGTAGTTATCAGCCTCAATCCAACAACAATCCAGCCCGGGGTGAAAAGGGAGTTTACTTTATTCAATTACTAATGTAAATGTATTATATCAAGGGCAGAAAATTAGGCAGAATAACATTTTAAAAATAAATAATTTTAATATATTTTTAATTTTTTTCCAGCGCAGCACCCCTCCAGATCTGGTGCCCTAGGCGACTGCCTAGTTCGCCAGTGCCAAGGGCCGGCCCTGGTCGGATGCCTTGCTCAAGGGCACCTCGCCCATGCCCAGGAGCTAAACTGGCACCTCTCAAAGTACCAGTCTACACTCCGTACTTGCTCTGTTCGTTGGATTTTGGTAAATAAATACAGAAAAGCAGATATTTGTACAAGTCAGCTTGGGAATTGTGATTGTGAAATTTGTGCAAAAGCATCATGTTGACCCAATCTGTCGATACTTTAATCAGCTGTTTTAGTGTAAATGAGCTCCAACTCAGGAGATGATAACTCACCAGAAGTGAAAAGGTAGCCTGCTACTATTTATAAGCAGACACAGTTAATTGAAACCTGGAAATGACTTCTAACAAATGTGTACGGTTTATACTGAAAAAGGCGGCATGGAGGTCATTTAGGGTTGATATGTTTTTTGGTTCCATCCTGGGCTCCTCCAGAGTTTCCTTGAGACACTGAACCCATAACCGCTCGTGATGAGCAGGTTGGCAGCTTGCATGGCAGCAATCAGTCATGTGTGAATAGGTGAATGTTTGGATGCAAAGTTTGGGGTTGTAAGCCCCATATAAATGTTGCATATATTTTTCCTTAATTCCCTTATTGGAATTGTTATTTGAAGTTAAAGGAAAGTTAACAGAATCAGTTAATATTTTTCGAAAATAGTTTTCAGAGAATACAATATATGAATATGTAGAATGGTAAAATAGTTACTCAGGTGTAAAAGTATAACAGATCCTAATACAGTATACATTTACCCTTTTCTTTTTTATCAAGTTGGATTGCTTTGTCCTCTAAACTATTATGGTTCCAGCTGATCAAGTTGACACTTAAAATGTATTAAATCAAGATGAGGAGAAAGAACCCAAAGCAAATCTTTAATCCTAAAAAAACAAAACGTCACCTGAAACCAATATAAATTGTCATAAAACCAGGTTATTTAAAATAAAAAAACACCAATGTCAAATCCTTATTATCGTATCTTTGCTATCTTTATCATTTTAAATCTAGTTAATGTTTGGTATTTAAAAAAAGTTATGAAAGGGTTAAAGTAAACAAAATAAAAATGTGAAAAAGTGAGATTATTTAATTCCAGCTATTGCTAGCGTACTCTTTCATTTTGGCTTTTTTTTCCAACAAGCACAATCACCTAAGATTGGAAAAGCCTTGAAATGGCGCACTAAACAAAGACCATTTATCCGTAGTAATCTTCTGAATACAGTAAGAGAGCCACAGGACATTTAGTGTCCTAATCTAGTTACATTAAGCTACTTTTTTGGAATAAAATCTGAAAGTAATGCTTTCCTGAAAAAATACCTTATATTCGTTATGGTAGTTTATTAGCCTATTATACTGGAGCTTCAAGTGCTTCCAGCTATTTCTTATATCACTTCTTATGGTTTTACTGGGAATGTTAATGGTGGAAGATATGTCTGCAACTCTGCCAAAAAAATCTCTTAAGAAGATGAACTGTTTAACTAAGTCAGAAATGATCTTACATCCCTTCGCTTTTGTTTTAATTAGTTGTCAAGCTTAAAGATGGCCCTCATCATGTAAATCAAATTGTGTTTTCATCAACAGAATTTGCCTGGCAACTAAATCCCATGACCCTTTTGGTTGTCTAGCGTACCCTGACTGATGAGCACTCAAATGTGTAGAAATTGTTCATTCAGCCATACAGTGTGCCATAAACTACACCTTTTTTGACATCACATTTGCACAATACAATTCAGCAGCACAGAAAGAGCGGAAAGGCCTTTATACTTATGTTGGTCTGGAGGCACAAGGGATTTCATCAGATTTCATCATGACGGTCTAGTCAGACAAACAGAAGAGCCTCAGCTGAATTCCTAATCTATCTCTCTCCCTCTTTCCGTCTCCCACACACACAATATCAAAACGTAATGCTTTGGTTTTATTCGCATAAAAATAACAGTATTCATATACGTTACTCTCTATTGCCAGTTTTTGACACTTTTTCAAGGTGGCCATTTTCTGACCTCAATAAACCCCCTCTGAGTTGTTCACTCCCCCCGTTTAATCTATGCAATGTTTTGATATGTGTGTTAAAGCCAGATTGGCGTGAGTTCCGCAGAGCTCAAGGACCGTTTGGGGAGTGACTCAACACTGTGAACTCACCAGTATCGGGAATAGCAGGGCCTGCTGGGAGTATTGGGTTTTTGGATAGGGTTTCCTCCACTATTGGATAACTCAAAACAATCTTATGGGATTGCAAATGTTTAATAGCATTTTGTTGATCAAGCATTTTAATCTAGAGGTGCAAAGTCGGTGTTCTGGTTGAAAATAAATAATACAACACCGTCATTATCTACAAGTCTAAGAAGCCTGTGAAAATGTCATGCTGAACTTTGTGTCGGACTGGGGCTCTGGCTAGTGGGTTGTGTGGGGGAGGGTTACAGATGGGGGAGAAGTGAGTTGGGGTGAGTGATGAGGGGGGTTAGGAGAACACAGGCTGCTGGTGCATGCTCTGCATTCCTCAGGTGTTGTCAGCATAGCTTGCTCAGTAATTACCTCTGTGAAAACATGCACAAAGCCACACTTCACTAGCAGGCAGCAACCAAGAGAAGCTGTTAGGGTACATGTCAAAGACAGATGGGAGTACATTTATATTCTCATTTAGGCGTAATATGAGTTGAAATGGTTATTTTTCAAGAGATTGAGTGTGCCAAAGTAATATCTGTTAAAAGATCACAGGCATGGCGTACTTCATGCATGCAGTGTAGTTACAGATGCACAGTGGGGCTGTGTGAGAGTCAGGAGTTTGATTTATGCAGCAATCCATCTTCTCTCAAGGATATTGGAAGGTTGGGTAATTATTATAGCCAAGCAGACCATGGTATGTTTATCCAGTGGTGTGATACAATCGTACAGTTGCGAAAAGATAGATTACAAGGTTGCATGCAGGGAATCTTTTTTGTTTCTCTCAGATGCGTTCCTCATTTCCTCACCAGGAGAAGGTGTCTGGGAAGTGGGAACTCTTCTCCTCTCCCTCCTGTGCCCTGCTCTGTCTCCTTGGCTGGCTTGCTTAAATTGAAGGGATTGTGTGCAGATGTGCCTGGAGAGAGTCCAGCCCCTCTGCCCTGGGAGAACATGTGGTTCGGGAGTGTTTACGCTGGCACTCTCTCAAGCTGTCTCCCACACAGCATGCTGGCGACTGTCTCTCCTGCGTGACAATACTTAACCCTCCTCTCACAAAGGGGGCATTCTCAGGTTGAGGTGACATCATGTGGATTTATTGACAAACAGCAAAGACAGCAATGTAAATATAGAGTAAATTAATTTGATAAAATAGTATTTTGGATTAGCTAAGCTTGAACATACTATCTCCCCTTTGACCTTTCGTTGCATTAATATTCAGTTTTGATGCTTGGGGTGAACATATGTGTGGATTCGACAGATATCCAGACACCTCAGGCATGTTTTTCACAGATTCTCGACATACTTCACATTCTCCCCTGTGATTCAGGCTCTGGGTAAACATCTGTAAGCTGAAAGGCCCTGAAAGGCACGCTTATTCGTAACACCAGTAACCAGCAAGGTTACACCATGTGTTTTTAGTACCCAGGTGGGAAAAGGGGAGACACACACTGCATAATGCCATCAACTTGCAGAAAGAGTAATTCATGTGCGTTTCAGTTACAACTGACTTCGACTTTGGTAGAAGCAAAGTTCCAAGATTCTCGATATAACCAAATGTCTCCTTTATCAGAGCTTCCTCAGAGGTTGTGCCATGTAAAATGTACCAAACTTTGCATTAAATTTGATCATTCTTTATGTTGTGTAAGTGAAATGAGTAACAGTCTACATTTGTCTTTCTGTAAAATAAGTATTCGGTGCCCCCTGCAGGATTGGATGCTTTATGAGTACCCATCAAAGCTCTAAAGAATAATTTCTCAAAGAATTGACATTGTTAAGTTTGCTCTTGTCTTGAGGAAAATATTTTTGGCTAACTGGTGTCTTGTGAAAAATCTTGAATTTGTATTAAAGCCAACTATATTTTCCTGTAAGGGACATCCTTTTCTTAATTTATTCATATTTTAAAATCCAGATCCAGCTATCTGTATAGTTTGCTTGTATTATACTCAAACAGCGCAAAATTACTGGATAAAGTGGACCTTAACAAACTTTAAAAACAATTATCTAGCTTATTGGAATAATGTCTGCCTAATTGTAATCTGATTGTTAAATAGATTGTATACTTTAGGTGAAGTCTTTATCTGACCTACAGAATCATCTTTTTTTAAATCTTAACTTATAACTTGTTGGGCAATTGTATTTTTTACTCAGCCAAAAACATATCCATATCAAAGCAATCATACCCTTGTCACTTTTTTATTTACCACCAGGGGGCATGATTTAGTGAAGAATGCAGAGGTTGAAGGGCCTGGCTGCCTGCTATCTTGATCAACTCTGAATGCTTGAGCATGAAAATAAAACCATTGAATGCCAGAATTTATTGCAGGCCTTCTTTATCAAATGTGATTCAAAATAATAACATAATACTATTAGAGTCACAGTAAAAAATATGATTGATACAAAAAAGCAGCCTTGTTACATTATTGCATGGCGTGAAAATGTACTTCTAACTGACATATCCCTTTATAGGTAGAAAATGTATTTCCTAGATTTGACTAAACACCTGCAGACGAATAATTGTTGAACTAGGGGTGAACACTGCGGGCATGTCAGGGTTGCACAGGTGTTCAATTTGCTTTGAAGTATTCTCATAACGAAAGGAATCACGATTCTTTTGAAATATTGAGCCAACATGGCTGATCTCGTAGCGCAGTTGCAGGCAGCGGCGACTCTCTCCCACCTCCACGGTTGGTGAAAAAGCGCATGAAATAGGAGAAAAGGAGGTGTGTTAGCGCATGCGCAGACGGTGCTCGCCGCTTAGTTATGCCATTTTTGGAGGAGTCGAGCTTACGTCACGGGCTCGTCCACAGTCCTGGAGCTTGAGATTCACCATCCACTCATGCAACCACAAGCAAAGGGAGACATTGGTGCTCCGAGGGGAAAATACGCTTTTACTTTTTCTTTTTAGTTTGGCACGGAATGAGCTGAACGGATCCGGAGGCTGCTACAGTGCGTTTGGACGTGTGGACGACTCCAGTGGCATGGTGTGCTGAAACAGAGACCCCAGCAAGCACTTAGACAGAGGTTACCCTGTGCATCATGTTTGAATGCCGATAATCAATTATAAATATATATGACTGTGCTACTGCATTACCTATAGCCTCGCCGGGCTGTAGCCACTCTTCTTTTACTGCTGAAGCCCGTCTGAAGCGGACACCGTGCTGAGGGTGCAGCTCAACGGACAATCGCACCCGGACCATTGGAGGGGTTCGGATGAGGTGGTTCCTCGGGCTTTTAGGTTTTAGAAATCCAGCCAACTTTTCCTCTATTCCTTTCTAACAGCAGTGCCGCCGAGCATTGCTCAGGAGATGGCGATGAGGTTGTTCTACTTGGGATGTATACTCTGCTTGGAGATCATATCTCCTAACGGTGCAACCGTAGGTAAGAAAGCCTGTTGTGTTATCTTGCATTGTGATACTCGTGAAAGCATGACCACTTTTGCTCCCCCTGCAAAGCATCTGTGCACAGGCCTATGTTCACCAGAGTTGGAGCCAACACAGCAGATAGGTTTGGCTTCACAATAACTGTGCTCACAACGGTCTTCTCAGAGGAAGAGATAGATATTTGGGAAAACCTTTAATCAAACTGCACAAATAAGCAGCGTGTTGATTTGCTTAAAACCAGTCTGCGTTTTTTTTTTAGCAGTCTGAGCAGACAGAATGGGCCTGTCTGCAAGGATGGCAGATAGTGAGGTTTCTCAATGTTAGAATACCCAGCAGGTAAAAGGCAACACTTGCATGAACGATCTATCTCCACAAAACGACATATTGTCTGATTGACTGCGACAAAATGGCTATATCCCTCATATTTTTTTTCAACAAAAACACAATCCGCATGTATATTGTCTGTATGGCTACAGCTGATAGCTACAATTCAAACGTGCTGTTGTTTCAAGGGAAAAATAAAAAGCAGCAGGCTTTCCTATAAAAACCTGTGGGAGCCGTCGGTCAGATCAGCTTTCATGTTTGTTTTCAATTCCTCCTCGCGCATGAAAACAACAGTTGTGTCTGCTCGTAAAGGTGTAATATTAATGGCGCGGCTTGTCCCGACGTGTAGCGTCAGAGCTGCTGGGAATCACAACTCAGTGACAGCCAGGTACTGTGTGCTAGTGAAATGAATAGTGATCCTGTTACGTCCCGGGAGCTCCTTAATACTCCCGAATCCCTGATGGTAATAATGAGATATTAAAGGCACCATTGCTTCTGTGACAATGCAGTGCAGACCTGTTGAACTAACTGCCTGCTATTTCTTTCTTGAGCACTTGAATGGAAATCTAGAGGTACAAAATAGCACATGTATTCTACAGATATATCCATAGGTAATATTTAATGTTGCTCCTGCATACATAGTCTTATGAAATAGGTTTATCAAGAAGGCACATGCTAAAATCAGAATTTATCTTTTTCTGGAGTCCATAGACTCATCCATAATATTTTGTGAGTTTAAAATACTAAAGTCATGCACTAGTAGCGATGTCCTCTGTCCCCTCCAGCACAGTCCTGACAGCTGTGTTTATGAAAAACATTTGTAATATCAATGTGACTCAATGTTAATTTCCCACTTTTAGCCCATGTTTACTTTCATGCCTAAAGCAAAAGCAACACATTAGAACCTAGATTTTGCCACTGAAGCTAAAGTTAATGCTGCCAATGTCTTTACAAAAATAGCTCCTGACCCTCTCTGTGTTGGGAGATCTTATGTAAGTTTCATTAGATTTTGATGGAGCCTGTTCAAAGTAAAAGCCATAGCTGATTTTACAAGCCCCTCCTACCTCCTCCATCAGTATGTAACATCTGGACACAGGGAGACCATTAATCCAA